GAAAAATATATTGGTGGAAAGAAGTTATATGGGCTATAAAACAACATTTTAAAACCTTGTAAGTAATCAGTGTTTTTCAAATAAATAAATATTTGGATATTTATTAATACATGGATATAAAGATGCTGGTCTGTTCTTTAGATAAGATTATTTTGTAACTCTCGGGAAATCCCTGTGATTCACCTTTGCTTAATCTGCAAGCAGTGTTGATTCCAACCAAGCACAAGTATGTTTAGAATGGGAACCTTGTCTTCGTGTCCTATTTTTCTACAGGTAGCAATTATTGTTTCCACAAGCCTGGAGTGTATGGTTATGGGACAGCCACCTCCTCCTTCAAATCACATCCATTAATCTGTGTGGGCAAAGTCCATCACCGTCACCTATTGATCGTATTTCATTTGGGTGGAACAGATTTTCAACTGTCACAAGTAAAATACTCCCACAGACCAGCAAAATTCATACAAACCCAACAGACTATGCTTTTTTTTTTTTTGAGACAAGATCTTACTTCTGTCACTCAGATTGGAGTGCAGTGACGTGATCATGGCTCACTGCAATTTCCACTGCCAGGGCTCCTCCCACCTCAGCTTCCCAAGTAGCTGGAGCTACAGGCATGTGCCATTATATCCAGTGAATTTTTTGTACTTTTAGTAGAGATGGCGTTTTGCCATGTTGTCCAGTCTGGTCTCAAACTCCTGAGCTCAAGCAATCTGTCCTCCTCAGCCTCCCTAAGTGCTGGGATTACAGGTGTGAGCCACCCTGCCCGGCCCAGACTCTGCTTTTAAATACACTTTATTAACTGATATTTGTATAACACGTTCCTGTTTCTTAACTTCTTGCATGTAAACCATCTCACCTGATTATCATGGAAGATTTGGAAGGCAGGTGGGACAGATAATATTATTATTTTCATGTCATAGATGAGGAAATAGAGATCCAGAGAGATGAGGTGAACTACTCAAGCTGATATGAGCAATAATTAATGTGAGTCTTCAGATTCCACATCTCAGGTTTTTCTCAGGGTGCCTGAGTTTGGGTGAGGGTGGCAGTGTTGGCTGGAAGTGAATGGGAAAAACGCTGGAACCCAAAGACCAAGAGTTTGAAGCCTGGTTCTACTGATTGCTGGTTGTGTGACCTCAGGCAAATTTCTTAATCACGTAGCCTCAAATTACTCATCTATATTGTAAAATCATTCTCTACCTCATAGGATTCTTGTGATGATTAAATGAAATAACATATGAATGGGACTTAGCAGGGCCTCTTATGTATCTCTCATGCTTGAATATACCAGTTATGTTATTGTTGTTGTCTATGTCTAAATCCAGATTCAACCTGCATTCACAAAGAGAAATGAAGAGCTGAATTATTCATCTGTACCGTACCAAGCTTCTGCCTCTGTTAAATATATCTTTCAAGCATGGGTAGAAGGCAAGAGTGACTTACCCCAATCAGTTGTTTGCCTCACTATGCTTGCCTCCTGTTAGCTTTCCTCCCCATTCTGATTGTCCACTACAAAGCCAAGTATATGTTTGTTTGCTTGTCTTTTGAGACTGAGTCTCACTCTGTCACCAGGCTGGAGTGCAGTGGCAGGATCTCGGTTCACTGCAACCTCCAACTCCCAGGTTCAAGAGATTCTCCTGCCTCAGCCTCCCAAGTAGCTGGGACTACAGGCATGCACCACCACACCGAGCTAATTTTTGTATTTTTAGTAGAGACGGGGTTTCACCATGCTGGCCAGGATGGTGTCAATCTCTTGACTTCGTGATCTGCCCACCTTAGCCTCCCAAATTGCTGGGATCACAGGCGTGAGCCACAGCTTCCAGCCAAGTATATGTTATATATGCTCCAAAGATTGTAAGAGTACAACTATTTAGTATATTCTAAGAGATAAATGTAAACTCTGCAATTTGATTACATCATTAAGTATAGCCATGTTAAAAACAGTGAAACAAAAATGCCCATCTGAGTTTTTCTTCTTAGACTAAATAAGCTCCAAAGCATTTCTCCTATTTTACTTTATTTTGAACTTTCCTCGGTTGTAGTGCATTATGGATTTCTCCTAGTGTTAGTTTTGTTAGAGATGAACCAATTATTTCCATATACTTCCAACACTGGTTCTTCTGTAATGTTGGCTTTGAATATAGTAATGGTCAGAACATCCATGTCCTTTGGGTAGACCCTGGTGGTTTTGAGCAAAGGCAAATGATAACAGCATGTTCTGGGAAGGTGCAGCTCTTCCTGTTGACCTTAGTTGATTCCTTCATCCATTCAGGACCATTGAACAGCCTGTGAGAAATGAAACTCAGTGGAAGAGCAAGACCAAATCCCTGCCATGTGAACTTGCACTCTCATGGTGGATACAGAAAAGTAAACAGGGAATGAAGGATGGTGATGGAAGTATAGGGAGAATTTGAGCACATGTATGAAGAGCACCAGACTCAGATTGTGGGCACTCTTCTCAGAGATGGTGACATCCAAGCAGACGGCTGACCAATGACTGTGAATTAACAAGTCAGAGCTTGCTGGGAGGAGGGAAGAGACAGCTATTCCAGGCCTAACAAGAAGATGCGAGGGCTGTGAGGATGGAGTGAACTTGGCTGGTTTATGGAGTGCAGAATTCTAGGAGAAACCTGGAGGGAGACGGGTGTAAGACTTAGGGCCGAAAGAGGGGAAGAGTGTAATGGCGAAAACTTCTCCCATGCCTACCCACAAGCCCACGAAAGTGGAAGTCACCCCCACTGTTCCTCTCTCTCCCAGTAGAAAGATAAATTCCCTTAGCACCGGGCATTCTGGATACCAAATGAAAGTGACAATGACTGAGGACTTCACTACATGGCAGGCATATTTCTAGTGATTTTATATCGATTTGAACTTCTAACAATCCTATGATGTAGGCAATATTGTTCTGTCCACTTTGCAGGTGAGGATATTGAAATAAGGGGAGTTAAATGACGTCCACAGGGAAACCCAGTTGATGAGAGGCAGAGCCAGAACTGGACCCCAGGTGGTCGGTCTCCAGAGAGTCCCCCTCCACAAAGAAGGCTGTAGCAGTTAGGTGTCCTGCGAGCTGATTCAGGAATGCCCTGCAGAGCTTCCAGCACAGAGCCATGGCAACTGTAGAGCACTCCCTTGACATTTGCATGGAGAGAGCAACTCTTTCATCTCTTTTTTGCGGTGTGGGGAGGGTGGTGGAGGACAATGGTGGCGTGGTTAGGACAATGTTTCACTAAAACATGCTTATCGAAATAAGCAGGTCTTTAAGCCACAAACTGTAATGGCTATTGCAGATGATGGTGGTTTGCCACGGAAGAGATTTCAGACTCCCCTATCTTTACTTTTGCTTTCTCTTTAACATAGGTAATGACATCAGACGGGTCATTGTCCATTAAAATCTGTAATGCTTCCTGGTTCTCAAGAAGTGAAAGCGAAACGTTTTCTTTGCCTTTGCAGCACAGCTCCACTTTATTCAAATCCAGAGACTTCTTTTTACCATGAGTTAGTCAGGATTTTCTTTCGTTTTGTTTTGTTTTGTTTTTTGAGACTGCGTCTTACTCTGTTGCCCAGGCTGGAGTGCAGCGGCATGATCTCGGCTCACTGCAACCTCTGCGTCTCCCATTCAAGTAATTCTCCTGCTTCAGCCTCCCAAGTAGCTGGGACTACAGGCACATGCTACCATGCCCGGCTAATTTTTTGTATTTTTAGTAAAGACAAGATTTCACCATCTTGGCCAGGCTGGTCTTGAACTCCTGACCTTGTGAGCCACCCGCCTCAGCTTCCCAAAGTCCTGGGATTACAGGTGTAAGCCACCACACCACCGAAGCTTTAAAAATAACAAAACAAGACCTGGTGCGATGGCTCATGCTTGTATTCCCAGCACTTTGGGAGGCCGAGGTGGGTGGGTCACAAGGTCAGGAGTTCAAGACCAGCCTAGCCAAGAGGGTGAAACCTGGTCTCTACTAGAAGACTATGTGAGATACTCTGCCCCCAAATGAAGATGCAGGTTCCAACCATACCTGACATGGCTTTTTGGTTTCTCTTTCAGAAGTTCATAGATTAGAATGCCAAAGACACGATATTGGCTTCGATGCATTTGCAGTAGCACAAAGTGAAGTCCTGGAGAGCTTATCCTGTTTCCATAAAAGAAAAAAAAGTTGAAGAGATGAGGAAGATAGTAGCTAAGAAACAACAACAAGAAAGCTGAATTCAAACTGCGGTGGCTTTATCAAAGGACTTTACTACTGACATTCAACATAATAACCTCAAAATTAGCATTGCCTTGCTAATATTTGTAGTTTACTCACAACTTTTCAACTACCTTCTACTCTCTTTTGGGGGAAAGAAAGTTATGCACGTTGGCTGTTTCCAAGTTTGGCAGATGTGCTTTGAAAATACTTGTTGGAGAGTATGATTAAAAACAAAAACATTGTGTAATATTTCTATTACCAGGAACAAAATTGCTTCTATGAAAAAATATTTGAGGAATATCTTTAATTTGTTGCTGGAGTTGATTTGTGTGTGTGTGTTGCTTAATTTTCTGTTCTGGTCAAAAAGCTGTCAAGTTGGATTGGGCCATTTGATCCTATCCCATTTCCAGTCTTCTTCTAGGACCTGTGAGCATGGGCAAACACTTTTTAATTATCCCGATCAAGTGTGGGGAACATCCTTTTGCTGACCCCACTTGTAATCAACTGTGATTGCCTAGAAGCAGGTGAATTGATTGCTCCTATCCTCCCCAGCTAGCCAGAAGAGTAAGTCATACATTATCTTGGCCCTTTGAAAAATCCAACTCAGTGATTGATTTTATGGCTGCCAGTGGCAGCAAATTCCTCAGCATGAATTCTACTAAGTGAAGAAGTATTTCCTATAACTTGCTTTAAATTTCCTTAGCATTAACTTCTCTGAGTAGCCCAGTCTCTTATGGGACAATGTAATAAGGATCTATCAGTTTTACTGCCTAGTACATATCTTTAATGTCTAAGTAAATCTCTCTTATTTTTCAGCCCAGGCTTAGTAATTCTGACTTTTGAAATCTCCTGTCATGAATGAATCTACACTGCACTCTATTTCTTGCCCTGCCCTGGAATTCAGCCATTCCTGCACTGCATTTCTTAAGGTGAAGAAGTGAAAGAGGAAGACACCAATCCAATTGAACATGTATTACTCTCTTCCATAATGCTATTGTATTATATTCTTTCCTTCTACTTTTTTTTGTTCTCCTGATTTCTCTGCACAAAAGAGGGAAATTCATCCAAAGCCATGGAAAGTTTCCTTGAAAGATTTTTATCTAGTCACACTTACATACAGTGCAATGTGCATCTCTTACAGCATTATACAGTTTGGGATTTGTTTTTAATCCCATGAGAAATGCCGTATCAGTGCTTTGGCATATATTTGTTCCAATTTCTACATTGCTTGGGGAGGGAGAGAAGCTTTCTTTTTATTAAATAAAATACACATCTATTTTATTAAACAGACACCTCAAGCATTAGTTGCTAATGAAACAAAAATATAAATAAAACATGGAACTATCCAAATACTACATGTTCTCCACATTTGCCCCCAAAATGTGCCTCATCTCCCTGCACCTCCAAATAATATTTCTAATGTTTTCATTTTATTAGTTTTGCAATGTCACTGTCAAGGTAGAATTACTGGATGGCTTAAGACAACTTTTGTAAAATTTTCAAATCCTAAATTAAAAAAAATCATCTTTCAATAAAACAGATCTTGTGATTTATCTATTGGAATGTGTGTGAGAGGGACCTACTGATTCACACTCGTCCAGTACATGGGCTTTGAAATATATTTGAATTTGTGGAGGCAGGGTGTAGAATGACAAAAACAAACAAAAACCCCACAGTACAGACCCAACTGGGGTATACACAGACAGGTTGGTTTTAATTTTATTTTAATTTTGGAGTTTCTGTGAAAAGAAGAATGAGGAGAGAAAAAAAAGGGGAAGAGTAAGAGATAGCATATTTAGGGTATGACAAATTGGGAATGGCTCTGCAGTGATCTCTTTTTTTGTTGTTGTTGTTGTTGTTGTTTTGAGACATAGTCTCACTCTGTCACCCAAGCTGGATGGCAGTGGCATGATCCTGGCTCACTGCAACCTCCACCTCCCAGGCTCAAGCTATTCTCTTGCCTCAGCCTCCCAAGTAGCTGGGACTACTTGGGACTACTGGCTAATTTCTTTTTCTGTTTTTGTATTTTTAGTAAAGATGGGGTTTGACCATTATGGCCGGGCTGGTCTCAAACTCCTGATCTCAGGTGATCCACTTGCCTTGGCCTCCCAAAGTGCTGGGATTATAGGCAAGAGCCACCCCGCCCAGCCCTAATCTCTTTTTCTGCCCTTCCTCTCTACCTTCTTCCTTCCCTTCCTTCCTCTTTTCCTGCCTTCCTCCTTCCCTCCCTCTCTTCCTTTTTTTAAATTAACTTTCACCAGAGATTATTGAGTCCCTCCCAGGTGTAAATCTTTTGCTAGGCACCAGAGTACAGTGATAAGATACACGAGGTTCCCGAGCTTGCAGAGGAGAATGAGGCAGCCAAAAGCATGTGTATTAGGAGTCATCCAGGAGGAGCCATAGATGCATGGACAAGGAGGACATATGGCTGTGACAGTTTCCTGTGGGAAATGATGCTAAGCCAATGTGTGAAAGGTGGGTGGAAATGGCCAGGGGGAGGACTTATGGGAAGAAAACAAAATCATCCCCAAAGCAGAAGGAGCTCATCACAGAGGAGCTGAAGAAGTCCAGCAGGGCTGATGGGCAGGGCTCCAGGTGGAGAGTGCTCCAGCAAGGCTATCCAGGCTTGGAGTGCTGGTCATTGCTTTGAAAACAAAACTAATGCCAGAACTCAGAAACCTATTTGGGAGAGATAGGGTGTTCTTTTTGCTAAATCTAATGAAGATTACGTAAAGTCGGTATCATTAGAATAAAATTATCTGACAAAACTACAGAACTCCAAAGAGAGGAACATTAGAAATTCAAGATTATACTAAATGTCTACATCCCTGTCTCCTCTCCCTAAATGAGGACAAGAACATGTGACATGGGCATTCCAGTGGGATGAGCTGAGTGCAGTGGAGGCTACTGAGGTTGCAAATTGGCAAAGAGACTGACCAGGTGCAGAGAGATTTTTCTTTAAAGGTTCTCCTCTCAGCATTAGGGACATATGACCTAGTGATATCATAAAAAACACTTTTTCAAGTACTTGATATTTTTAATTAAAATGACTGTTTTTAGAGACAGTCTTATTCTGTCACCCAGGCTGGAGTGCAGTGGCATAATCATAGCTCACTGCAGCCTTGAACTCCTGGGCTCAAATGATCTTCCTGTGTTAGCCTCCCAAGTAACCTGGACTACAGGCATGTGCCACCACACCTGGCTAATTTTATTTTTTTTTTCTGCAAGTAGGGGTTCCCCCGGCTGGTCTCAAACTCCTGTCCTCAAGCTGTCCTCCTGCTTTGGTCTCCCAAAGTGTTGGGATTACAGGCGCGAGCCACTGTGTCCGGCCTTAATACTTTTAAACTTTCTCTCGATCTCTCTCTCGCTTTCTCACTTGGTAGCCAAAGCCATAAAAGTCACAAAAATTAAGCAACTTGAGATTTCCAACCCAGGGAAAGGGTCACTCTGTTGACAATGAGAGGAAATTAAAGGTTGGGGTTGTGTTCTCTTTGCCCATTCTTCTATTAGTGCAGAAAGATAATTGCATGGCTCTGATTGCATGGAGAGATAAAAGCCCAGCTCACCCCCCGGCCCCTACTTTCCTTCACCATGTCTCCAGGACTGACAGCAGACTGAGGGACGTTTGGCTTCAAGTGGGGAAGAAAATTTGCCAGAAGTGGCCTCCTTCAAATTTGCCAGAAATGGCCTCCTCAGAGCTGGGCAGAGCTCTGTCTGATGGAGGCCTGACTTGCTTCTAAAAAGAGTGCAGTCTGGGCCCATACCCTTTTCCCAGATCATTTTAAATCTTGTTGAATCAGTTCAACTTAAGTCTTATAGACTATCTCCTTATCTCTCTCAGTTGAGCCTTCAAGTGTCTTTCAGTTTGGGCTAACAAAGGGGAATGGTGAGAAGGAGTATCAAACATACAGATTCTCTTTTGCAAATGTAGGGATATATTCTGGGGCTTGATTGAGGGAGTCAGTGTAGGGTCCTCGGCCATTATCCAGTTTCTGGCTTCGGCACCTTTTTTTTTTTTTTTTTTTAGGTAGAATTTCACTCTCCTTGCCTAGGCGGGAATGCAATAGTGTAATCTGTGCTCACTGTAACCTCCACTTCCTGGGTTCGAGTGATTCTCCTGCCTTAGACTCCCAACTGGCTGGGATTACAGGCATGCACCACCACACCTGGCTAATTTTTCGTATTTAGTAGAGATGGGGTTTCACCATGTTCGTCAGGCTGGTCTTGAACTCCTGACCTCAGGTAGGTGATCCACCCACCCAGGCCTCCCAAAGTGCTGGAATTACAGGCATGAACCACCGTGCCCAGCCAGCACCTTTTTATTAACAGAAAAAATTAAAGATGTAGCAGAACCTGTGTGTCAAACTTTCAAACAGCCATGACTGGGTCATGTTTATACAATGGCAGACAAATGTTTTGGATGCAAATGGACAAATGACATTCAGTCAGTGTTCTTAGCTTAGGCAGATATGTGGCTTAAATCTGGAACAACACTTTTTTCAAGGGGTGTGAAGAACAAAACTCTTTTGCTTAGACATATATTAAAGCAGTTTGAAAATAATACAAAAAGTTTTAAGCTGAAGTTTTTTATTAAACTACTATATATATTTTGGTGAGGGCAGGGGTCAGGATGATTGGCGTTACTTCAGATTCAAAGAGGCCCATCTTTTATTTTGAAGTGAACTTTATACAAGGGCCACTTGAACTGGAGAGCAATGCTTGTGGAATCATCCTGGGCAGGTAATGTGCTTATCAAGGCTGACAACACCGTATTCCTCTGTATCCCTACAGTTCCCCAGAAACCCTTTTGGAGTCTTCTGCAGAGAAAGTCCTCAAACCTGAATTAAGTGGTGGATCTAGCACAGCTGAAAGCTTCTAAGGATGCCAGCATCCCCAGACTCAGTGTCCATGTCTGAACCTGGCCTCTAATCCCTTTTCTATTTCCTGTTTCAGATAGAAAAATATTCCTTAATGGGGGTAGTCAATCCAGAATAGCAATGACGACCACAATAATGTACTAATGACCTAGACTGAGCACTCACTATGCGTCAGACTATGCTAAGCATTATCATTTTATGTACTCCTTACAGAATCTGGAGGCAGTATGTTCCTAGTTCACATTTCTTATTTCTATTTCACAACTAGGGAAGCTGAGCCTTAGGGAAAAACTGCTCAGTCACAGGGTTAGTGAAAGGCGAATCCCAGACTCCATGTTGAGTTAGTCTGATTCTGGAGAGCATGTCATTACTGAGACTCACAAGCCTGGACCTTAAGGCACAAAAGGTTCTAGAAAGGAAGAGAAATGTGGGAGGGGGTTGGGGGGACAGCGTCTTGCTCTGTCACCCAGGCTGGAGTACAGTGGCACGATCTCAGCTCACTGCAGCCTTCACCTCCTGGGTTCAAGTCATTCTCCTCCCTCAGCCTCCCCAGTAGGCCGGCACCACCACACCCAGCTAATTACTGTATTTTTAGCAGAGATGGAGTTTCACCATGTTGGCCAGGCTGGTCTCAAACTCCTGACCTCTTGATCCACCTGCCTTGGCCTCCCAAAGTGCTGGGATTACAGGCATGAGCCACTATGCCTGGCCTCAAAGAGAAATTTTTCTGGACTCTACTATGCTCAAAGCAAATTTAGGTTGAGAGGCCTGTCCTTGGGATTAATTATTTTCCTGTTTCCTTTGTTCTTCCTTTTCTTTGTCTCACAACTCTTTCTTGAATTGTACCAGAAAATTGTGACGGACACCTGAGTGTGCTAAGGAGACTGAACGAGAAAGACTGCTCATTCGGATCCACTGCCCTCTTTCCATTCTCCTTCCTACAGGACGAATGAGCTGAACAGTCCTAAAACCTGGCAGTCATGGCTTTAGAGGATGCCTGCAGACCCCTGTCTCCTGCAGTTCAACTTTTCAAGCCTACTTTGTAATTCCTAGGCAGAGTTCTGAGCTCTGATGTCATCTTTTAGTTTTACACTTATTCAAAATATTTTGATCCCAATATGCCCTTGGTGCCATGCTTTATTAATGCAAATATAACTCATATTAGTGATGTCTGTTTTGGAGCCATTTGCCCTGCATATGTTATTGGGTTTCATTGTTTATCTTAGTTTTAAAAAAATTCCATATGCTCTGACCTCCTGACACGTAAGCCCTGCCTGTGTGGTTAAAACAGGAAAACTAGTTATTTGATATCATGAAGGCAATTCAGCTGGTAGACACACTCAAACGTTTCCATTTCCACTGGGGTGTCTGCATTGTAGGGAACCATAGATTATTAATCAGGGATGCTCAGGAGAAAAATTGTTTCTTTTGTTTACTTGTTAATTCCCAAAATGAACCCAATGCAAAGAAGATACCACCATGGTGCATTTATTTTTCATTGTCAGCACCTATCATTATGCCATTGTGTAAGAACTGCCCAAGTAAATTGTTCTAAAGTCACATGGATGGCTTTATGTCCCACCCGCCTGCGGAGTTGCCTGAAAAAAGAAAAAACATGAACGTCAGCTAGGTCATCGGGTGAGGAGGCTGCCCACCGTATGG